AACGACGCGGTTTCGGTCTCGCCGCGGGCGTCTTTGGCTCGCCCGCTCCAAGCGGGTCGCCCCGCGAGCCGAGCTCGGGCGGTTTGCGTCTCGGCCGCTTTCGCTGATGGTCTTATTTCGGGCCGAGAAATCAGAAAAGCTCGTCAAAGGGCTTCACGGGTGAGCCCTTTAACGAGGGCTCACCCGTCAAAGGTGAGGGCAGAGAACTTGGGAAATGCACGGACGCGCTCGCCAACGAATGTTCTCGCTCGAAGGGAGGTGTCCCGCTCCGCTGAAGAATCGGGACTTTGTGACCTTGAGGTCCTGGCTCGCGCTTGGCGGCGACTTCCTGATCATCAACTCCTCCGTCAAACACGCGAGCGGCACGGCGTCGCGTCGAAACGGTCGAGCGGCCGCGCGCCGAGCCCGCTCGCTTCGGCGGCTGATTTCTCGCGCCTCTGCCCCGGCAGCAACATCCCCCGAAGAAGGACTTTGTCCGCGCCGTCTCGCTGCTCACCGGCTACTTGGTCCAGTCCGGCGGCGCCGGAGGCTCATCGCTGTACTACCTCAGTCAGCTGGACCCTCGAGGTGACCGCGACCACGTCCCGGCCTCACCGCGCGGGCCCCCGTCTCGCGCTTGAAGCGGGTCTCTTGTTGTCTTTGCAGGTTCTCTGCCAAAGTGGGTCGCCAACAGAGTCTCCCAGTTTGTGGCTCCCAAGGTAACTCAAGTCCCACCGTTGGGAACGGCGGCAAAGTAAGCGCCGCCAAGGGATTTTCCTTCTCCGGTCCGCGCAGACCGTTGAAAATGTTTGGAAAGGGTCGGCGGCGGGGTCCTTCCGGCCGGTGGACAAGATGACAGAAACTTGTCTCCGGTCTTCAGTGGCGCTCGCGCTGACGACGGCGCTCGCGGCCACAACCGCTGGACGGACGCGCAGGAGAACCCGCGGGGCACACGGATGCTCGCGCTCCGAATGAGTCGGCTGCTCCGCTTTGTGCCTCGCGAGCGGTTGAGGGTGGCCGGCGCCTGCGCCCGCAGACGGCGGACGCAGGCTTCGGCGCGCCCGTCGCTCTCGTGAGAATAAAGCGGCTCAGATCACGGGCGGACGGACGGACGTCTCTCTTTTCTTTTTCTGAGCTTCGGGAACGGTCGGGACGGGGGAGAGCCCCCCCCCCCCTCCCCCAACACACACACATATT